ATAGAGAATGTGTTTGAAGAAATAATGGCAGAAAACTTCCCTAACTGGTAAAGGAAAAAGTCACACAAGTTCAGAAGGCACAGAGAGTCCCAAGCAAGAACAACCCAAACAGACCAACGCCCAGACACATCATAATTAAAATGCCAAAAATTAAAGACAAAGAGAGAATCTTAATGGCAGCAAGAGAAAAGCAATCTGTTACCTACAAAGGAGCTACCATAAGGTTATCAGCTGATTTCTCATCCAAAACTCTACAGGCCAGAAGGGATTGGAATGAAGTACTCAAGGTAATGAAAAGCAAGGATGTGAAACCAAGATTACTATATCCAGCAAGGCTATCATTCAAAATAGATGGTGAATAAAGAGCTTTGCAGACAAAAAAAAAAAGGGCTAAAGGAGTTTATTGCCAGCATTGTAAAAAACGCTAAAAGGACTGCTGTAATGAGAAGAAATAGAGCAAGAAATGTAGGCATACAAAATTAAAATAGTGCCCTAGCCAGTTTGGCTCAGTGGATAGAGTGTCGACCTGAGGACTGAAGGGTCTCGGGTTTAATTCTGATCAAGGGCATATGCCCAGCAGGGAGCATGCAGAAGGTAACTGATCAATGATTCTCTCTCATCATTGATGTTTCTATCTCTCTCTCCCTCTCCCTTCCTTTCTGAAATCAATAAAAATATATTTTTTAAAAAAGAAAATAATTTGTTCTAAAAAATAAAATGCCAAATAAATATGTATCTATCAATAACTTTAAATGTAAATTGATTAAATGCTCCAATCAAAAGACATGGGGTAGCTTAATGAATACAAAAACATGACCCAACACTATACTGTCTATAAGAGTCTCACCTTAGAACAAAAAACTCACACAGGATGAGTGAAGGGATGGAAAAAAAAATTTTCCATGCAAATGGAGACGAAAAAACACCCTGGGTTAGCAATACTCATATCTGACAAAACAGACTTTAAAATGAGAGCCATCACAAGAAACAATAAAGGACACTACATAATGCTAAAAGGATCCATCCAACAAGAGGATATAATCCTGGTAAACATATATGCACCTAATATAGGCGCACCTAAATATATAAAAAAAACCTTCTTGAGGACTTTCAGGGAGAGATCAACAATACTCCTAGTAGCGGACTTTAACACCTCACTGACTTCACTGGATAGATCTTCCAGAGGCTTTGTTACAATAGCGCCCTCTTGTGGACATTCTGAGAACAGCACTTCTTTTATGCCTGACT